TTATTAGTTAAATTTATATACCACTCCCAATAGTCCCATACAGGGAAAAGCCCTAACTCAGCAATGTGGCTTTGCAATCAGATGTTTCTAGGTTCAGTCCCCAACCTCTCCAGGTATGGCAAGAAATGGCCCTTGTCTGAAGCCCTGCCTTGAGCACCAACGATATTTACTCATCTGTTATCTTTTCTTACTGCCCAATAGCTGCAGCTTTCTCAGCAGCTCACAGAATGAAGCTTAAAGCCATAAAATACAGTCATATAGTAAAGCATAGCATAAAAAATAGAATTAAACCAAAGGTAAAAACCAGAATAAAAACCAGCTTCAGTGCTAATATCTAAAAACCTGCTAACCGTATTGAACTGGATGGACCACTAGACCGACTGGGTGGAAAGGAGCTTCTTAGGAAGGGAACTGTATTTTTGTGTTGCTTTGCAAAGCATACTGACAGTGCTAAGGAGACACACAAACATTAGAGGAAATGGAGCACTTAACAGCAAAAATGTGAAAAAATCAGTATTGCTGTGCTTATCACCAGCAATAGCTGATTAATAGCATATGGCCAATTTGTGGGAAAAAAGAAAGAGCAAAAGCATAACTTAGTGGGATCAGTTCAGGAGCTGGTAGCACACTGGAATAGACCTTCCTGAATTGGTGTGCAGCTCCCACTCAGGCCTTGATGTCTTTCTCCATTGACATCTCGTATATTTAATATTTTCAACCATTGAAAACAGTTAAAAGAAACGTACTAGATGTGCTAGAAATTTACTTCCAGTACATTTACTTCGCTAATGCTAACTTAGAAATGAATAAAGCCAGTAGTCATTTTGGGGGAAAAGAACTCCCGGTTTAGCATTAGAAGGAATAATACCGGGTTTTATTAACGTCTGCAAAATGGCAGCCTGCCACAAGAGGGCAGTTCTGGAACGCGTAAGATCTTTTCTTTTTCCCATGGCTGAAATAAGCAAACTTCAACACAGGGGCACTTCTGCCACCTTTCTTCATTTGGGAAGGTCTGTTCGTTTTCGAGAACAAACTCCCCGAGCCGGTGAGCCAATAAAACCTGGACTCTGAATCTCTGCGGGCCCCCACAGTGTGGCGTGGCGCTTGCAGTCTGTAACTTTGGGAGGCTGCGGCCTGCTTGCAAGGGAAGACCTACGCCAGTGCAACAGCCTTCTTCCTCCCTGGTTGTAGGAGCGGAAGATGACACGGGGAAGGAGCCTTTCCCAGCCTGTGGCCTCCGGATGTGTTGGACTGCCTCTGCTAGCACTCCAGGCCTGGCATGGCAAGTGGCTGTTGTCCCTCTTTCACCTTTGGTATCTCACTAGCTTGAGCAGGAGGAGAGCAGGCAAGAAGAGATTTGGCATTCTGGCTGCTGGTGGGCACGGATCAATCTGGCCTTTGCCTTCTGTCAGAAGACCAAAGACAGCCGTAGGAAAGGCCAGAAAGGGCTTTGGCGAGTTGACAGCTTTTCAAGCTTTTCCAGTTTGAAAAGGAACTTCAAACTGGAAATGCTTAGGGAGCCAGTTCACTCATGCAGCTTTTTTGGTGGTGCACATGCCCCTGCCTGCCAACCTCACTGCACTTGGCAGGAGAAGAGAAGGCAGTTTCACAGCTGGCAGGAGGTGGAGATTTGGGGTGCATGACCGGGCTATTTCTACTTCCAGGCTGCATGGACTCTTTTATAAATCTGCCTCAATCTGCATTTTTTTAAAAAGGACACAGAAATCCACATTAATATATTTTTCACAAAATACATGTCTTTGCGTGCATTTCACCCTACATGTTGTACAGCCCTAATTTATCCAAAATATGTGTTTAAAGACTATTTTGATGCATGTTTTGAACAGAAAAAAGTGATCACAAAATTCAGAGAAGTGCAAGAATGGAAATGTAACTGTTCCGACTGACCATTTAGTCCAGGAAGTGTGAATGAGGCTGTTTTGCTTAAAAATACAAAGCAAACCGAATCGGCCCACTTTCCCTGTGGAGAGGGAGAGAAGCATAGGGAAATTCAGGGTCAGCCACCTTGTAGGAGCGGGACCCCCTGCTACTTCTGGGATTGCAGTAGGGAACCACCAGCCAGGCTGCTTAGCTGGCAACGTTCCTCAAGTCAGTCCACAGGAATATTAGGAGAGCCATGTTAGGCCATCGGACTGGCATCATGCACCAGATTTCTTCAAAGACGGTAGACAGAATCTGGAGTACCAAATAAGCTTGCTCCCTGCTGAAGGAAAAAAAAAACAGCTTGCCTTTTAAGAGGTCTTTGTTTAATTTTAAGTCCCTATTTCTTACCACCAGGACTGCAGACTTTTTCTGGTGGTTTATACCAATCTTCTCTATAAGACACTCGGGGCTGTGACAAGAAATGGTTTCCAGCGGGGTTCCAGACAAAGTGCAAGACTCAAAGACCTCTTCAAAAACATCTAAGGAATCCAAAGGCCTAGGCATAGGGGTGTATCGTAAGTGAGACTGAACCACTGAGATTGCCCTCAAAATAGGGAGTATCATAGCAAGTTCATCCCAAGTGAGAAGGACCTCATTCAGGTCACTGCCTCCCTGCAGTTGCTCTTGGAAGGGATTGCTAGCAGGACCCCCTCCCATGATCTCAGCAGCTAAGCTTGTGAAATACCACAGGAGACCTTCCAACAGGTAGTTGGGCGCCAACCATTTAGCACTTTGTAGGTCAACATCAAGACCTTTAAGGAGGCTCAGAAGAGAACAGGCAGCCAGTGGAGATCAGAGAGGCTGGATATTTGCTTGTTTACAAGATTAAGGTCATTGTAAAAACAATCTGGGGGAACATATTTGAGAATATGATAATGTTGCCATGTAGCAGGGTCACAAATGAAAATAATGCTCTTCTGCTCACAAAATTGCATTGCCCATCTCTGTTTCCTTGAGAAACTTCTTAGATTTCTTCTTAGAGACTTGATTCTCTTTCTGCATGTGCTGGAGCTTAATTTTTGGTGAAAAATTGCTGTGGTCCGTGCAGCTAGACAGTTACAGGTTTGTTTGCCACTGCAAAACAATATGATAAAAATGCAGTAGACCTCCCCCCCTTTTTTTCCCCCTCATCCCTGTTCATAGCTGTTACAGGCAAAAGGATCCTGGCCAAAAAGAGAGAGGTAGCAGTTTTAATGGAGACCTGTTGCTTGTGCAGTGTTGCCACAGCAGTGCCACCATCTGTAACTGCAGTAGTAACATGTGTGATGCCCGCATTGCTTTTACATCTCTGATTCTTTGGTGTGGGACCGACCCGAGCTCTGTGGGTCAAGAACATGCATTGCAGACAGATGGTCCCAGTTGCAACCTCTAGAAGCTATGGATAGGACCTTTGTCTGCAAATGTACAAAGCTGCTGCCTGTCCATGTAGACCAGGAATGGAACCCTCCTGGAATGGGACGCTCCAGAGGTTATTGGACTACAATGCCTACGGATCCCTCATGATTGAGTATGCAGGCTAGGGTTGATGGGAGTTGCAGTCCAACGCCATCTGGAGGGCCAGATGTTCCCTCACTATGAGCATGGACTACTATCATCATCATCATCATCATCATCATCATCATCTTCTATACCCCCCATACCCAGAGCTCTCTGGGTGCTTCACAACATTTAAGTCACTCATCCAGATTTCAGCCAGGCCTGACTCTGCTTCACTTCCAAGATTAGGCAGGATCAGGCACTTCAAGCTATACAGAAGCCTATACCAAGCTGGTCTTTGAGTTAGTAGCTTCCTGCATTGTCCAGATGGGTTGGTCAGCCAGCCATCACAACATTGTTAAATAACTGGGGAGAAATTCTGAATCATGGATGACATAATTGGATGATCTCCTATGAGCTACACAGGATCCTTTGAATTTAATGAGCTGGGTATCAACAACTACCAGAAAGTAGAAATGAGGCCTAATTTTAGGTCCTTTTATCTAACTCATTAAATATCTGATTCATCTAGGTAAGCAGGAAATATGTCTTTGGTGCTTTCATCCAATGGTTAATTAATTTCTAAGGAGTAGATGCTAGGCAAGGATTGCTACTTGCCATCTAGCATTTTCTCCTTGCTTTGGTCATCAGCCTTTAATGAGGGACGGTCAGATGTCCTTTGCAGGGGTCAGCCCTCTATTTGAATGCATCTTTTATTCGGAGGGCTGCCCAGTCCACAACTGGTTTAAAAATACATATAAAGAAGGAAGAGTCTTGGAGGAGCCTGGATATTGCCCATGAAGTACCTGGACAGGAGTATGTTTGGGGCTGTGCTTGAATTATGTAGAAAGAGATGGAGGGGAAGCTTATAAACATAGAAACAGAGCAAGTCAGAAGGGGTCTCCTGGGCCATCTATTCTGACCCCCAGCTCCAGCCGGCTCTGCTCATAACGAAGCTTAATGATGTTCAGAACCTATTTGCCCCAGATTTAGCCAAACTGTGCTTTGACAGTCTTCTGGAAAAAGAACCCAAGGACCCATCATAGTGGTAGAAGCATCAGGGCAGTGGAGCCATTGGAACAAGCAAGCCCCCTCCCCCCCCCCCCAGAAAAATGATCAGAAGAGTCCCCTGGCATGGCCTACCGCATGTGGAAGCAAGTGAAACAATGTGTGTTATTATCCAAAGACCCCAATCAGAAGACCAGAAAGTTCAGAGTCTAAACTGGAGCAAAAGTCTCACTCCAGACTCATCTTCCACCACTTGCAATAATTTGAGCACTAAATGGTGGTAATAGAGAGCCGTTTTCTCATGAGCAATGCTAGTCGACACATACTGAAGAAAGGTCATTCTGAGGCTGACTTTCAATTCAGGTCTGATTTTGCCACACACAGGTAATGAATTGGCAGATCCTAAGGTATCTGTTCATGATGAAAATCTACAGGGTCTCATGGAGGATCACATCATGAAACTCACCCTCACCAAAGCACCAAGTGTATGTGCCTTTAATTCTGATTCACAGGATGCTGTAACCATATGCACCTTGGGAATTGGAACCGCTTTTGGAGAGTCGATTTTGGATAACACCCCTCGACATGCCACCATCGTTACAAGAGAGAACAGTGAGCTCCTGCGAATTGAACAGAAGGACTTCAAGGCGCTCTGGGAGGTAAGCCAATGGGCCACCTGGTCAACTATAGTAATGTAATGGGGAGATGACATGACCAGTAGTGAAACCAGCTCTGGAATTAAATATATGGCTCACATACAGGGAATGCACCACTTTGTTTGTGAGCTGGGTCTGTGGAAAACCCTAATTTTTAAAGAAACATTATCTAAAATGGTAGCTATGTTTATCTGTTATATCAAAAATAAAAAGGAGTTCAACATCGACCACATCATAGCTTGTTAGTCCTCATGGCAAACTTCTGCAGTCTGGTGCCCACCAAAAGGGTCAACTATAATTTCCACTATCCCTAACCACCACGGTTACATGCTTGTCTGGGTGATGGAAGTTGTAGTCCAACAAAGCTGGAGGATACCAAGATTAGGAAAGAACTTATTTAAAATATTGCAAGGCTCTTTTTTGTCTTAAAGATCAACTTTATTCTTTCTTTGCTAAATAACCATATGTAATTTCCCCGATTTAGGTTTTTATTTTTGTTTTCTTGGCTTCAGCTTTGATAAAGATCCATATTTTTAAAATATTCTTTTAGCTGCAAACTGAAATTGCTTTTTATTTGCCAGACTTTCTGATGTTGTTCAGTTAAACTCCCCCAAAGATCTGGACACTGTCAAATATTTGTAATGCTATGTGGGAGAAGCAGTTTGGGGGAAGTTTCAAATTGGCAGCTAAATGAGGTTAACTTTGAAAAAAAAGATCATTAGTTGGCACATGGATGACAAACCGTTGAAGCTCTTGCTGATTTTAATTAGTTGTGTCTTCATGCTTAATAAACATCATTCATGTGTTAACATACTAATCTGGCAGACAATGGAGAGTAAACACATTCAAGGTTTGAAAATACTACCAAAGAAGTGTTGCTTGTACTGGAAAGGTATTTCAGGGCCCTTATGCAACATAATCTGTTGGTTTTATAGCCTTAAGGAGGATGCTGACTTTGCATGGAATTCCACAGAAGTGATAGAATCTGTCTTTAATTTTCTGCCTATATGATGTGTCCATGAACTAGAGATCTGTTACAACCAACCAACCAACCCATCAATCAATCACTGCTTAGTTGTAGGGGAGCTGTTTGCCATATAGGGTTACCTGACTGGCAATTTAGGGAGAAGACATCAGAATTTGATGCTTATTCCTCAACCAGCTTTTTACTGCATGGCTGTGAAAAAAATACTTTTTAGCTCAAGTGTGCACAAATAGCCCTGATTCCTTTGAATCTATAGAATCATCTGGACAATGTCCTTTTAGTCTTTTGAGAGTTTTTATTTAATTCAGCTAATATTTGTAGTAGAATACTGTAAAGAGATTCCAGCTTTATAAATGTGGTACTGTCACATCATGTCACACTATGGATGGAAATGGCAAATATTTAAAGATCTTAACCCATTTCCTATTGCAGAAGTTTGAAACAGTTCAGTTTGAAGCCACTAGACCTAATCTGAAAGGATCCTAAGGATCCTTGTACAGATTTGCACAGTAGTATCCAAAGCCATTGTGCTCCCACAGTTTGTTTTGCACTTGTGGGATCTACTGCTAGTGCTTTCTAAATCAGCTCCAGAAACCAGGGGAACCCCTAGTTTCCAGGGGACAGGTCAGGGGAGCTCATGTCAAGTGCCCTCCCCTGTCCCCAAAAGGAGTGTTTTAGCATATTTGCTGGCTTAAGGATCTACTAGCATCCCAAGATCTTGGAGTAGTTTCTACTCACATGTGGGCACTGCTGGATATTGCACAGAGTAATTATTTACTTTGCACTTGTTTTTTCAGTATCATGCTTTTGTGCTGAGCCTCAAACTCTACTTCATAGAATACAACAGGGCTATGTAGGGCTGGTGCTACTGAAATGATGCAGGGCTCGGACACACAGGGCAAAACAAGCTGCACAGATTTGCATTGCTCATTTGCATGTTCTGTAAAGCCTCTCCTTGTGCGTTGTCTCTTCAGAGCAGCCTGTCTGCTAAGGCCTTCTCTGTGTGTCCAAAGGGAAGTTGGCACCGGGGACAGGAGGGCGTTTGATTTCAGAAGCAAGGCAGAAAGAGTCCATGGGGCACAGCAGGAGGGGAAGCACATGTGGGCCAAAAGCCAGCTACACCAGGGGATCGGATGTGCCAGGGCCCCCGTGCTCTTATTTCAGCGAGTGCCCATGGACAGGAGGGGGGCGGCGCAGATGGCCTGCCACAGCTTCAGAGCCCAGCCCCAGCGGCTGTCCCTGGAGGTAGGCATGTAATGGAGCTGATGCTGTCATGAGGCTCTGGGAGGCTGCATCCCGCTGGCAGCCTGATGGACTTTTGTAAGTGGACTGGGGGGCTATCTGCTTGTCATGCAGCAAAATGTCTTGGGCTGGCACTATCTCTCCATCTGCTTCTCTCCCACTCCTGGTTCTTTTGCACAAGGCAGTTGGCCTTTTAGGCCAACCTATTTTGCCATTCTATTGGAACTAACAAACAATGCTTTCCTCCAAGCCTCTTTCCCCCAAACCTCAAAATTCCTTCCCTCTGTTCTTCATCATTAATGTTTTGTCAAAACAACCAAAGCAATTACTGGCAAAATGGCTGTTCTGCCACCAACCCCTGATGACTATTTCTATTGAAATAATACTCTGTCCAAGAACATCTGCTTGGCTGCAGATCATATTCTTCCTCAGAGACATCTTGTTTTACATAGGCAGCTGTTGCAGCAGCTTGGAAAAGATGAAATCTCTGCTTATGGGTTAAGGTATCTCCAAACCCGAAGTTCTAAAAGGTGAGCCTTTGCCTCCCCTGAGCTTTTGAGTTTTGGGTTTTTTTTAGAAAATGTAGGCTCCTCAAGCTAGTAATATAGGTTATTCTCTGGACTTTGACATTTTCTTTGAAAGAAAACAAATCTAAACACAGTGGTGGATTCTGAATGCAAGAAGCATACACTCTGGTATTTCCCTCATATATCCCACTGCTATACCCTGCCGTCTTGCTTTTTTTAAAGAGATGATGAGAGAAGTTCATTTATTTGTCCATACTGATAGTACAAGAGCGTGTGCCCATGTTTCAGCCTTTGATTAGGTTGCACAAAGTCAGACAGGAAGACGGTGAATCCGTTGGCTTATTTTTAGAGTATTTTCACATTGCTGTGCATGGCTTAAACTTCCCAAGACAATTAACAGAGAAACAAATAGTTGTCTCTCCTGCGGAATAAAAGGATCATGTAGTGCAATTATAATAATGAATAGCAGGTGATTCACAAGCAGAGCAGTCACAACTGCAGTGTTTTCTGTTGTGTAACTGAGAAAGTTTTGACTTCATTATTTGGAAAGAGACTGCAAAAGGACTTCTACAGGCGACTCTTCTTTATTGACTAGGCACAGTAGGAATGAGCAAACTGACTTGGTAAGCACTGACTGCTCTCATGTTCTTTTGATTATGTGACTCTCTGTTACTGAATGGTAAATCAAAAATAATTTCTGAGAAAAGCTTTAAACAGAGAATAAAAACCTACCCTTTTGAAGAAATGTGCTTAAGAAAAACAAATTACACTGTGCTTGAACTCTTACATAATGTTATATAATATCAAATGTGAACCATTCTAAAAGGATCAGGAAGCTTTTTTCAAATCAAAATAAGCTTAAAGTCCTTCATATACATCTCTCTAATTTCAATATCCTTATATATAGCAATTTTAAAGGGAAATCTCTAAAGTCTGCATTGCACATATTTTCTATTGCAGGCAAAGAAACTGCCTAATTTTAAATGTATATTTAAGTATGTTTAAGCAATACCAGGGTACTACATACTTTAACAAACTAGAGATAAAAAGTGTTGGGATGCTGTTCCTGTGATCAAGAAATACCATTACTCTGTAATGATTACAGCTTATTCAAAAGAGACTTTGGTCACTATTCAGCCAAAATTTAAGAGAAAGCAAACTATGTGAATATCTCCTGCTGAAATAAATGAGACAAAATTACTTCCCTTTTGTTTGCTCATTAGCGCACAAGGCAGATTCTTTGCTAACCACACTTAGTTCAGATATTTAGTGATAGTCATTATAGTTTGAGGAGTGGTAAAAGTGTTGTGCCTGTATCAGAGCATCCTTACTTATAATTTATTTATCTTTTGTTTTCAAGTGTTTGCATGCCAGGAAAATTTTAGGGTTCATTTGAGAAGGAAATTAATACATGATGCATCACTGTAAAATTCAAGAGGAAGCTTAGATTCTAAGTCTAGCAACTTAAATTATTGAGCTGATCTATGCAATGCTATTTTACTGGTTTATTGCCCAGTAATCAGCTCCAGAAACCTTTGTTGTGATTTCTCTCTCTGTAAGCTCTGTACAGGTATAAACGCAAAGAGTTAGTAAACAGAGGAATGTTTGGCTTTAGGGAACAATCATGTGATTTCAAGTAGCAAAGAGTTTGGAGACCCCAGAAATACAAAAAACACGCAAGTGTTCTGAAACCTTCCTTGCAAACTGCTTTGACTCAACTCACTCAATATGGCTTATTGGCTGAATGCAGGAAAAAGGAGTCCAGCTGTTGTAATGCAGCAAACTGATTACATTAAGAAAAAAACCAGAAGATCTTCCAAAAGAGATTATTCTGTGTTGTAATATGATTGAAGTATGCAAGTAGAAGGATGAGAGAATAGCGATTTATATTCTTCTCATGCAGCCCTTTATTTCATCTGGAACAAATGAGAAAGTTTCAACAAACAAGCATTTTGAACAAGTATTTTACCCACACGTGGATGCAGCACCTTCATTCTTCTCTGTGTGGAACATGATCGAACCAGGGAGCTTCTAAGTACCTATAGTTTCTCATTGCATCTGAACTGGGAAACTAAGGATCTCAGCTTTGAAACAAGCCAAGATATGAAGCCCACTTCAAACTATGGTTTAATATCCCGGCTTGTTTCAGAGTTGGCAAACATCATTTCCTCTGTAAGATAATGTGGGAAATTCTGGTTAATTGAAGACTTTGTGGTTTGTCTGCTTGTGCCTCAAAAGGGTCATTCATA